AAATTCAACAATAAAATGAAAGACTTGAAAAATAGCTGTAAAATAAAATAAATCCCTGCTCCTACTTAAATTAGTATTGACAAGTAGGTCCAAATTTATCTTTTCCGGAGGCGGAAAATTAAATAAATAAAAAAAATTATGGAAACACGGATCCTGGTAATCAATGTGAAGATTGTTATTTAAATATAGGAAGGAGCACTAACAATGGTAATGTCTAAAGGTACTGTCTAGTTACAGGTTCTGTAAGACAAAGTAATGTGAATTTATGTAATGAAAATAATCACCAAAGCCGCCTGTTCTCTTAACCAGACAACCACTGTGTCAGAAACCCAGCAAAGAGACAGAATTTTGGTAATGAATGTGTTTGTAACAGATGACCAAATGACGATCAAGATACTTTATTCAATTTATTTTTTCCTAGTAGGACATTTATGAAGAAAAGCAATGTCATTGCCATAAGGACAGTGTAAATGACCTAACATTCTACTGCACGTCATCATTTGTAATGCATTTGCTGACAATTTAAAAAAAAAAAAATATTCAAAAGTGTAACCAATGGTTCAGTGAAAAATCTTGGATATTGACTCAGGAGAAAGGAAACAAAAGCTAAAAAATGTAAACTGAAGAAAAGATGTACGCACATAAATACACAACGCTTACTTCCTTACCTAGTCAGGGTAAATCAAAAATATGTATTTAGCAGGTTGAAAAAAAACCCAGGACTGCACATAAATATTTTAAATAGCTCAACTGAGTAACAATAACATCACAGCTGATATTTACCAAACAGCTAACATACAGACATACCTACACACACAGATATGTATGCTATCAGTGCCATTGCATTGTTCCATTTGAATCCTTTAACGTTCACACAGGATTGCCAGGGTCGTATTTTATTATATATTATTGCAAGTTGTTGGCACTAACGGATAGTTCACAAACACTGGAAAGTTGCAATTTGTGTAATGCAAGGGAAGAGTCCTCTGATTCGATTTTTACATGAGGGCAGTGAAGAAAGGGGTTAAGGTGTTCGAATCCTGCCAGCAGCCAAGGCAGAAGCCAGTCCCTCTCCAGGCAGTTCCCTCCCGGTACGGACTTTGCAGCGTATTGACAAGGGGCGTTCCTGAAAGAGTTGGGCCATTTTCATCAATAAGGAGCACTGCAGCAAGGGAGGGCACCATACAGCCCTTTAATCATCGGAATGGCATCCTATGGCTATTTACAGTTGTAGCAACAAAAATAAAGGTTTTAGCTTACATGGGGAACAGCAAGAAATTAACCCCGTGGTTAACGTCACTGTTTCTCCGGGTTTTGTATCTGGTAGGTTTTTTTATTCCTTCTTTAAAACAAAATTCTGCATGAGGGGAGAACGTTCTTAATGAACATTTTCCTCCTCTCTCTTTAGACATAAAAAATAGTTCAAGCAGCCCAACCAGCCGAGCAGGCCTTTCTCTTCCCCTGCGGACACCTCCTGCAGTCGAGAAGTTCATTAAGTTTTATGATCTTCCCAAGTCAGTCCTGCTTATAAGCCTCACAAAGGCCACAAATCTGGCAAACCATCATGTATGCCATTAGGCTTTACTAGTAAATGAATGCTATTTAGGGTTTGTGGTGACAGTAAATTAGGGTTTGGTTGGCAGCTATCATTGTTTCTGTTGGACTTATAGAAATAAATACACGTATACGTGTAGGCTCATACGCACTCCGGCATTTTTATAAAAGTGTGTTCCTATCTATGCAAATGATTTTTAAAGACAAAACCCCAGATCATCTATCAATACAATTCGGGACCTAATAATATGTCATTCCACTGGGAAATAATTGCAATTCCCTAACCATTTTAAGACTGAAAGAATGAATATATGTTCATTTCTATCTCCATGAGAATAACCAGCACCTCAGGTATAGCAACGGCCTAATGTAGGCTGGATCAAATTACAAATATGAAGGATTTATAGTCAGTAAAATTTAAAAAAATTTAGTCAGACTATTTAAAAAAAACAAAGGCTCGCGTTGGTTTTTGCTCCCTACGGTAGGCGCCGAGGAGAGGGTGTCACACAGGTATGCAACAGATGTGAGTGCGCGTCGAGAATGAACTTTAACACTCCCAAGCGACACCTCTGAGAACGGGTAAAACACAAGAAAATAGGAGTCAGTCGACTCTCACTTGTGCATCTTCAGATTTCATTAGAGGGGCTTCAGTAGAACTTTGGGTATCGTTTTTCTTTGAACTAATTAAAGAAATAAGTGGCAGTTTCTTTATGAAAACCATGCTACCTTGTGGTTGCCTCTAAGAATGCACATACCTATTAATATCTGTAAAGCTCTTAAATGTATTATGCAGCACTTTTTAAAATGTTAAAAAAGAAATGTCAGGCTACATTCAGGAAGCTCAGTGATTTGCTTTGTACATGGCAAATACCTCACAGGGAAAAAAAAAAAAACCACATTCAGCTCCTAACCCTAAGTGAGACACAGAGAGAGAGGCTTTTAAAAAATGTGATGCATTCATTAACCCTTGAGGGAAAGTGACAGAGTTGCTCTGCCTAAACTGAGGATTCCTGAACGCGTTCTCTCACGACCAGTCTCACAAAGTCCTGCCTGACTGTACTGAAAACTACTAAAATATAAAAATATACATAATTCAATATAAAAATGACTTAAATGTTGCATTACTTATTTAAGAACAGCCGTGACTGCTATTACACTTCACGTACAGGCTCCAGTCTCCCTCCTCACCTCTTGTCCTTCCTGCCCACAGAACAAGGTAGCGATAAAGCCATCACGGCAATTCCCACCGCCAACAGCAGGTAAACTTTGGTTCTGATTAAAAAGAACTAAATACCGGCGCATGACCCAGTCACAGGCAGATCTAAGTGCTCAGACCACAAGACAAAGCGGAGTACCAGGGGGAGGGAGGGAACACCTCTGCTTTAATTGCATCTCAGACTGGTCACCCTTCCAGTTCAGAATTATTTCAGGCGTTTCCTATGAGAAGAGCTTCCAGAAAATATGCTAGAATTTACTTTGATGTTTTCTTTGCCTTAGCACGCTAACTGAAGCCTACACAGACATTTCGTCTCAACTGGGAGATCCCGAGCAAAGGTCCCCCTCCGGGAAGAGTTTTTGGTGGGGGTGTGGATTCATCTCCATCAATCACCCGGTGCATTAATCCTGTCCCTCCCGCGCTGCCGGGGCTGGCAGGATCTCGCCTTTGGGCAGGCGGACGCCTTCACTCTTTGTTGGTTCTCAGCGATTTCACAAAAGAGATAACTCGCAAACTTGGCTCGACTACTCGCAGCACGAGGGCAGGATCCCAACTTACAAGTTATCACCGAAACACCCCGAAACGTTTCAGACCACAGAGCCTCTTGTCAGGTTCCCTCTCGCCTCCGAGGCGGCGGTGGCCTCACCAAACACCCTCTGCCAGTAATCCCCGCTGCTGAAAGGACCTGGGTTTTTCTTCGCAGCTCACCTCTGACATGTGGCTGACTACACTTTCCTTTCAAAACAGCGAGGCTAAGCCCTCTGCAAATAAAGTGATCGCAGGACCTACGCCTGCCTCCTTAATTGAAATCTGCCTGCTGCAAAATGTCTGAACACAGAGGGCAGGTTGCTCGGCTGGCTCCGGAGCAGGACGGGCAGAAAGTTTAGGGAAAGGCAGAAAACAAACACAAGGCAACGGAGGAGGGAAAGGGGCTGGGAGCGAACCGAGGCAAAACGCCGGTCGGTGGGGAGGGAGGGCAGGAGGGGGATCATTCCCCTTATCCCGGGTAATATAATGCAATATAAAGCAGAATCAATCTTAATATTCACAACGCAGTCAATACCCTAGTGCTTAGCTGTCAGCAGAAACTGAAGTGGATCCCCGGTAGCAAAGAAACCCTTGGACATAAAGCACCGTAATTTACTGGGAACTGTGCACTTTTAGGCTTCTCAGCTGAGATTTGCAATGATTTCACATTTGTTGTTTTGATTCAGTCTTAATTTTTCAGCGTGCAATTAAGGGGATTGTGACTGAATATCAAATACAACTAAAAAGCAAGCCAATGCATGTATTTATTTTTAAAGCCAGATTGTAAGAAATGTTATTCTCATGATACAAAGCAGAATACTTTGCAAATTTTCTTCGCTGGAAAGAAAAAAAAAAATCCTTCTCTAAATTAAGTGACGTGAAAAAATTGCAAAAAAAATCCCCTAAGATGCCTCTAAGAAAACCGCAGAGTTTATTAGTGTCGCGTTAACGCAGGGGAAAAAAAATATATTTTTTTTTTTCTACTTTTGAGATGAAAATTTTTGGCATTTCAAACATCACCGCCCAAGAGCAGCCCCCGCTCCGCTCGGGTCTGTGGGCGAAACATCCATCTCTCGGCCTTGCCCCCCCCCGCCCGGGGCTCTCCCCGGGGGTCCCGTCCCCGCCCGCACCGACAGGGGCTCGGCCTGGCTCCCCCCGCGCCAACCCGCACAAAGTTTATTGTGCGCGCTGCACATCCCGCTGAGGCGAAAAATAAAATAAAATTAAAAAAAAAAAAACCAAAACCAAACCCCGATGTGAGGCAACGCAGATCTGACAAGTATTTTTTTTGCAAAGTGTCCTGACGGTTAAAAGCGCGGGCGGCACCCCCCGGGGCTGTGAGGAGGGCGACCCGGGGC